CTTTTTGTTGTGCATTTTAACAAGATTCCAGATAGAATCAAACTGAGTATACTAAAAAAAAAAAAAAATCACTGAATTGTATAATAGGTGAATTGTATGGTCTATGTACTGTAGCTCAATAAAGCTATTATTGTTTATATATGTATATAAAATTATATATGTATATAAAATAATATATACACGAGGGAGCTTCCAAACACTTGAGGAAAATTTCCATTATGTTTTCATTCTACTTTTCCACAAACTTTTTCAAGTCCCCTTGTGTACACACACACACACTCTGCATATATACATATATATGTACTGGTTTATATATAGAGAGAGATGAATCCAATGCAAGAACCTTATTTTCTTGAAGGGACACAGCATGAACTCCAAACTAGCAACATCATTGGTACCAAACTGCTCATCAGTGGCCACGTGTGAGGCTGGGACGTACCCATCTCGTCACTGGAATCCAGCTTTCAAACAGATCTCTAAATAGGTCCTGTTTCTCTTCTGCTATTTAATTTAATTTTGTACTTGCATTGTTAAAAAAACACACATTTAAAACTGATGTCTTCCAATTGTGTTGCAGAGAGGAGAGCCATTTTCTTTGTTCCATAATTATAAAATATTTTCGATTTTTGATTTATCAACACCAACTAGAATGACCAATCTAATGGATGATTTCCTTTTCTATAGCATCCATTCCATCCATTCCTTCGAATCACCTCTTTATACACATCTTCCATTAGTGTGTCTTCATATGCAAACTGTCACGTACACGTGGGTGCACAGACATGAGCAAATAGAGTTACACCATCTGTTAGCCCAGGTTCCTGTTACAAACTGCTGTAACAGCTGTTCCTAGTGAATGCCGTCCAAACCAAACCTGAGCCACTGTCCAGTCCACCTCACCCTGTGTACGGTTTCTGAGACTGAACATCTTAAAAAAATACTTTCATTGGGGGCTCTTACATCTCTTATCACAATTCATACGTTCCTCCATTGTGTCAAGCACATTTGTACATATGCTACCATCACCATTTTCAAAGCATTTTCTTCCTACTTGAGCCCCTGATATCAGCTCATTTCCCCCCTCCTCCTCCTGATCACCCTTCCTCATAAACCCTTGATAAGTTATAGATTATTATTTTCTTATTTTACATTGTCCTCTGTCACTCTTCACCCACTTTTCTGTTGTTCGTCCCCCTGGGAGGGGGTTCATCCTTGTGATCGATTCCCCCTTTCTCCCCACACCCTTCCCTAATACTCCTGGTATCTCTACTCTTATTGTTGGCCCTGAGGGATTTATCTATCCTAGATTCCCTGTGTTTCAGGCTCTTATCTGTAGCAGTGTGCATGCTCTGGTCTAATCTGATTTGTAAGGTAAACTTGAAGTTATGATAGTGGGGGAAGGAAGCATTAAAGAGCTAGAGGAAAGTTGTGTGTTTCACCAGTGCTCTACTGCACCCTGACTGGCTCATCTCTTGTTGTAACCTTCCGTGAGGGGATGTCCAATTGCCTACAGAGGGGATTTGGGTCTCCACTCCATACCGCCAGCACCCCCATTCACATTGGGTATGATTTTATTCTGGGTTTTAGATGCCTGATACCTTATCCCATCAACACCTCATGATCACACAGGTTGGTGTGCTTCGTCCATGTGGGCTTTATTGCTTCTGAGGTAGATGGCCACTTGTTTATCTTCAAGCCTTTAAGACCCCAGACGCTGTATCTTTTGATAGCCAGACACCATCAACTTTCTTTACCATGTTTTCTTATTCACCCATTTTGAGACTGAACATCTTTATGGGAGCAGGAACCCTCATCTCTCTCCTGGAAAGTGGCTGGTTGGTGGCTTTGAACTGCTGACCTTGCAGCTAGCAGCCCAACAGGTAAAAATCACTGTGGCACCAGGGCTTCTTCTTGAATGACTGAAGTAGATAAGAATGCTACATTTCCCTTTTTGACTTTAGAAATGTTATTTACTTGATAATGCTTGAACTTAAGAAAATTTGTCTTTCTGAAGACTCGTGGTCTGATATTTCTTGTCTCTTCCCAATTCATTATTCGAGACCAGGGTGAAGTTGTCCCTTGGCATTTGTTTTCTGCCTTCCTCTGGCAGTTTAACACCTGTCCCTGTGGGCGAGAAGCGGGGAGTACTGAATTCTCACTGTGTCTCCCGACCTCTTTGGCTTCCTTGAGGGAAGACGGTAACTGGGAAACGCGGTGAGGGAGCTGGAGCCTGGCATCACCTCGCTGGCTTATTTTACAATGGCATCTTCTTTCTGGCCGATTCCATCGCGGCTCCATTGACTTGCTTCACACACTTCAGACTGATGACTTTTCTTTGAGGATGGTGTATTTTGAGATGTAGGAAAAAGAAGATACAGATCAGATCCCATCATGTAATTTAGCTTTATAAAAGGATTCAGTGGACCCATATGGTGATTGCAAAAGAGAATGAGTTTCAGTATATGTTTCTAAAAGAATTAAGTACATTTTCTCATTTTGGAAGATCCTACCCAAGAACAGTAGTCACCAAATATAGACCCTTGCAAATAGAACTGTCCAAAAAAGAAACTCAGCGTGGTGGGCCCAGGAGATCCGGACGCTGTGCCAAGACTGCGTCTTCAGGAGGAAGAGAATGCCATCCTGGGTGGCTCTGGGCTCAGTGCCCAGACTTGCGGTCTGCCTTCCCCATTGGATGCTGACAACCCCCCCTCCCCACACCCCCCATCTGGAGGCATCCTCTTGTTAAATTTGCAGTGGAAAAGGAGCCAGGAAGACGCCCCCATGGTCTCTGGCTCTAACCAAGGAGGGCAGAGCACATGTACTGCCTCTGTTGGCCTGTGTTCATCTTCACTCACCAGGGACATAAACCATGTCTCCCGCCTCAAACTAGAGGTCCCTGATGGCAGGGCCAATCTCACCCTGACTGGCTGGGATTTCCCAGGGTGGAAATCTGATAAAGATGAACAGCTTTATTGGATTAGTGAGCCTTCCTGAGGCAGCGCTGAGGACAGCATGCTTTGGAGACAGACTGCTCACCAGCTGGTGACCTTGGGCAAGCCCCTTCTCAGTACCATGGCTCTGGGTCTTCACTTGCAAAGGGGAACAATACTGCCTCCCTCCCAGATATTAGGAGAGTCAGGACATGTGCTAGTGTGCTCAGAGGTCACTGGGCGATAGGGACACTTGAAGCAGGCACCTTCTATGGGTGTCAGTGAAGACTAGAGGAGTCACATGTGAAGGCCTAGCCAGGTGGCAGTTGGTGGAGGTGGGGCAGTGGATAAAGAAGGGACACCAAAGAGAGTGGTCAAGTCTGGCAGGGGGAGGGTGGCAAGCTGGCCAGGCAGACAGAGCAGGAGACGGCACCTGCACCTTCCCAAGAGTGCTCTGCAGGGTGATCTATAGGTGCTGTAGATCCATGCTGGACTACGAACTGCAAGGTCAACGGTTTGAAACCACCAGCCACTGTGAGAGAGAGGGATGAGGCTGTCTGCTCCCATAAATATTTATGGTCTCTAAAATCCTATAAGGTCTAGGTTCCCAGTGTTCTTTGGCCTATACCTGCTGCTCAGAAGAACCACTCAGCACCCCCTACCCCTGGGCAATTAACAACTGTGGTACGACAGGCCCTAATCCAGGACAAAGGGCAGGCATCGCTTTTGCAGCCCCCCTCCTGGATTGTTCCAGCGCCCCTCACTTAGGGCAACACCCTTATGGAGGGCCACTGGGTCTGAATCCACTGGGTGTGGGTTGGGTGGCGCAGTCAGCATGGGTCTACAACTGGCAGAAGGGGAGGACTGTGCGTGAGGCATGTGGGGCCACACAGGTGCCAGCCTGGCTGGGTGCTGACGTCCTCAGGGCATCTTTCCCTGGATTCACCCATCGTTTCTTGTCAGGCAAGCTGTGGTCAGACTCGACACGATGGGGGGCAGAGGGGAAGGCAGTCAGCCTGGGTCCACAGAAGTGGTTTTCCCCCGGGTTGGCAAGCCGGCGGCATCTTCTTTGCTTTGTCCTGGGTGTTACCAGTGGGCATGGAGGCGGCTGCTGCCCACCCCCCTCTCCCTTCTGCCATTATCAGCTGTGTCCAGATGGTCACACGCTCCCTAATCCGGGATAATCATCAGGCCGGAGCTCACCGGCGACAGTGGCCTTTGTGCCAGGCTGTGCTGGGCCAGCTCCAGCTGGAAAGACCCCCCAGACAAGACCCCGGGGCTTTGGAAGATGGGCTGGCCTGGCGCTGGAGGGAGCTGCAAAGGAGCAGGTGACAGCTCCTCTCCAAAAGGCAATCTGAGTGCAAATGGGGGGGCGCCCGCAGATGGGGTCTGGCCGTCGCCCCCTGGGGCCTCAGCCACAGGCACAGAGTCTGAGCTGATGGACCTCGGCCTCTTTGTTCCCTTGCGATCTCCCTCGAAGCCTGCCCCCCTCCCTTCTGCAGTCTTCTGCCAGGCTCTGCGAGGCGCCCACATGCAGAACTGCTCGGGGTTTGCGATCTTTGTTCTGCTTAGTTCCTGACTCTCACATGAGCGAGGGCGTCCCACCTTGTCCCCGGCTTGTGGCCGTGAGCCTGGTTTGACCCGGTTTTCAATCCCTCCACCCTCTGGAGGGGCGCCCTGCCTGGTGCAGACCATGAGATGCCTGGATGCTCACTGCAAAAGGGAGCAGCTACGAGTACACCTTGCGGTGCCTCTGAAGAAAGTCCTGGTGATTGGCTTCCCCAAGGGCCCCGCCCTTGAAAACCTACGGAGTGCAGTTCCACACCACATGCACAGGGCACCCACCTGGAGTCGGAATCCACCTGAGGCCACTAGGTGCTTACTTTATAGAGTCTAGACTTAAGGTGAACCAAAAATATATGAACTCTTTGAATACATGAGCTATTCCATCCCACTCGACGCCCCGTGTCGTGAAGGGCCTGGAGGCACTGTGGGAAGTACTGTGTGAAGGGGAGACAGGCGCTGGGCTTCCTTCTCCAGGACACTGACCCAGCCTTGGAGGGGGTTTATTTCTTTAAGAAAGGGGACCCATGCTGGAGGGCTATTTACACGGAGGGACCAGGAGGGGAACAGAGTGGTACCTCTGCATGCCCCACCCACCTCAGCAGCCCCGGCTCAGACCATCGGGTCCGAGTCACCTGCCCAGGCTCTGGACGATGGTGGCACAGCCATGGGAGCTGGTGCAACGCTGCAGGGACGGCTGGGCCTCCACCTGCCCACTGCTGGGGTCAAAGGTGAAGACCCTGTCAGTGCTGTCCCCGCGATCATCCCGGCCGCCAAGAATGTGGATCTTCCCATCACACACAGCCAGGCCACAGCTCTCCTGGAGGGATAGACAGACAGACAATCAACTGGGCAGCCCCGCCTGACACCCTCTAACCAGGCCACAGAGTAGGAGGGGCGGAGATAAGAAAGAGAGGGTGGACCAGAGTTCAACTCGGGCCGGACCTCATACTAAGCGAATGACAAGTAGCTTAGCCTCTCTTGGCCTCATCTGCAAAATGTAAAGGGCGGTCGCACCGTCTCCTTAGGGCTCCCTGAACACTGGATGGGGGCAACACGTATAGCGCTTGGTGTAGCTGATGAAACAAGCTGTCTTCCCGCAACAGCAACGATGACCGCCGCTACCACCACCTGACCGTCGCCAAGGTCTGAATGGGCAGTGCAGTCAGATCCCTGTATGGCCTCTGGAGCCTCAGGGGACCAGGACAGAAAGCGGGGGGGTGGGGGGGGGACAGAGATTCCCGGGCCTGGACCGTCCTTCTCTGACATCCTTGGAGCAGGGAACTCAGCTAGTCCCTTCTCCAACCGCCCCCACCCCACCCCCAAAGGGCCACCAACAGGTGGCTTTCAGGGCAGGCAGAGACTTCAGGGTCATTTGGTCCAAACTCAAGGGGGACTAATGCACCAGGCTCTTCCTTCACAAGCACTCACCGGTGACCTGGGCCTGGGCTGCCACCTTCTACGACCAGTCTGTCTGCCGTTGTCAGCTTGGTCATTACTGAGCACACCACCACAGACTGAAACGTAGCCGTCTAGCAAGGGGTCTGACATGAACCTCACCTCGGCGCTCCAAATGCCCTTGGAAGGAGCTGTGCCCAGGAGCCCCCACTTACCACAGGGCCCGGGAGGGCAGCAGCCTCCCCCCAGACATCTGTGCCAGGGTCATAGGTGAAGATTTTGCTCATGAGGCCCCCCACCACGTAGATGGTGTCTTCCAGGGAGACAGCTTCCAAACACCGCTGTGAGAAGGGGGCTGGGGCCCTCAGGCTCCACCGGTCCTCCTTGGGGTCAAAGCACTGCACCTGAGGGGTGGGGACAACCGTGGTGTGCAGCTTTATCCCCCTCCCAGGCCCAGAGCTCTCGACCCGGCTCCTTGTTCTAGCCCCTGCTCCAGGACTCCGTGTGTCAAAACCGGCCTCTTTCAAGGTCTGACACAGACGCCGCTGCCTCCTTCCAGCCTTCCCTCGTTCCCGGGCTCCTGAGAAAACCAGGTGAGTCCGCGTTCTTAGCTGGAGCGCTGGGCGGCCTGGGGCGCAGAACAGCCTTCAGGGCTGTCGAGGCTTCCGAAGACTGGCTCCCCAAGGAGCTGCCTCACTGGCTTCCTCCCGCACAGCCCTCTGGGCCACGTGACAAGCCTCTGGCCAAAGTTTCCCAGTATTCGGGGAGTGGTCCACAGGGGCGCCCCCCACCTGGTGCCCCTGACGTCCTTCCGCGCTCTCCCAGGGCACACCTGTATGTACCCATTGCCCGCTCAAGTCTCCACCCTGCAGCCTCAGCGGTTCCCATGGAAACCCCCCCAAAGCCCCTCTACTGTTTCCCTGGAGACACACAAGGTGGCCTATGGCAAGCCAACACTGCTGGTAGGTAGATCCTCGAGCTACTTCTCCCACCCAGCTGCGGAACACCTGCTGAAGGGGCGTCAGATGCTGATTGGGGAACATTTCAAGACCCAGGACCACCGCAGGCCCGTGAGGCCGTTCGCGGGAGCAAGGGAGCTGGCAGAGCGGTGAACTCTTTATTTTAGAGAAGCCCAACCCTGCCGGGCTGTGGATTCTTCGAACCGCAGACTGGGTCATCGGCCCGGGGACCCAGACGCAGACATAGAGGTGACTCATGGCCAGGACGAGCCCGTGCCAGGTGCTTACGCTGAAATGGAAGGGCAGGAACCGCGAGGGGCGTGCCAGCTAACCCCACCCCGGCCCTCACTTCGTGTCTTAAACCTACGAGGCCCCATGGCAGCAGCCGACACTCAGGAGGGTGTCACCGGCCGCCCGGGCTCGGAGGCCTGGCCCTAAGCTCATTTCCTCGTCCACTCCTGCAGCGGGTCCTGCGAGAAAACGGACAGGCACGCGCACGGAGACGCTGGCGGTGCGCCGGACACCCGGTGGGCGCTGCCCCAACCCTCTCAGCCGACCCCGCCGACTCCCACCTTGTCGGTGCTGGCGCCGTCCGGTCCCGCGCCCCCGATGACGTAGAGCAGGCCCGCGCAGGGCGCCACGGCGGCCGAGCTCACCGCCTCCGGCAGCGGCGCAGCGGCCGCCCACGTGTTGGAGAAGGGGTCGTAGCGCTCCACGCTGCGCAGGCGCTGCAGGCCGTCAAAGCCGCCCACCGCGAACAGCTGAGGGCAAGAACAAGGGGTGTGGCGCGAGAAGCCAGGGGCTGGGGAGTGCCCTGGAATAAACCACTCGCTTAGAGGCCAAAGAGCCTGGGAGCCCACCCTAGGGCTGCCCCCACCAAGTTATACAACCTCTGCAAATTCTGCTGGGGTGGATATTGAAATGCAGACCCCCCAAATAATGAACCAAACTCACTGCCATCGAGTGGATTCCCAATGCGAAGCAGATGGGTAAAATCTCGAACCGGCTGCCAGTGAGCCCCTTCCCACTCATGGCTCCCAAAGACCGCCCCATCCATTTTCCGAGGCTCTAACTCTCTATGGAAGCCGACTGCTATGGCTCTCCCGGAAGCCACCCACCTCGGTTATCAACGAGCACTTTAAACACTGTGCCACTAGGGCTTATGAAAGGTTCACCACCTTACTTAACTGATTCTATGAAGCACTTTTATTGGGCGTTTTGAATTCCAGATGCTGCTTTCGAAGACTGTGGATACGTTTTCTTTCTTTTCCTTCCTTAAAGTGGCAGTGGAGGGCTGCCTGGCCTCTAAGCTCCCACACAGCTTGACCCCTAGCCTGGATTATCATGGCAGTAACTGCTGTCATTGTTAACAGGTCACGAGATCTTGGGTCAGTCCTTGCTTCTGTGGGGCCTGGGATTTCTTCCTACACATGAGGATATTAGAGGACTCCTCCCCCCAGGGGTGACGGTAGCTCTTGAGCCCCAGGGCAGTAGCAGCAGTATCCCTACCTGGCCTTGAATGACCGCCATCTTGTGCCTCCACCTGCCCTTGTGCAGTGAGGCCACCTTGATCCAGGTGTGCAGATGGGAGCTGAGCATCCACACGTCATGGCTGTTGAGGTGGCCTCCTAGGGGCAGAAAGGCCGCTTTGCACCCCTGGCCCTCGATTAGCCCTACCCTCCAAAGAACTCCCACAAGGGCCCCTGGATCCAGAGAGGTGAATGGCAGACAGCAGGAAGGACTTCCCGTTAGACCAGTGTGGCTCTGAGCCGGAGTGCACTTTGCATGAACAGTAGGGAGGTCCCAGTTAGGACAATGGGCAGGGATTCTTGAGGGCAGAGCCAGCATGGAGGCTTGGAAGAAGGACCTGCACTCTCTCAGGGTAACTGGTGGGGCTGGGCTGGGTGGTGCTCAGGCAACAGAGACATGGGCACGGAGGACTCTGGTACAGGAGAGATTACAATGTGTGCCTGAGACCACTTCAGGACTGTACTGGGCTGAAAGGGCAAGCCCAGCTGCCTGAATTTGTAGGGGTGAGAGGTGGGGTTGACCTGATAATCCCTGCCACATAGGTCTTCATGTTCTTGATTTAATTTCTGTTCCCAATCCCCTATAAGGCATTGGGATTATTCTTCCCAGAGGTCAGGAATGGTGTGCTGAACACCAGCTGATGGCCTACAAGAGAAAGGACCAGAACAAGAGCTTCTGTCCCCCGTCAAACACCGGGTTACTGGTGAAGGGCACTAGCCCTCCCTGTGCCTGACCACCCTAGGGCTCCTCCTGACCACAGCCAACCTCTCAGCTGACCTGAGCCTGCCACTGGATCCACCTCCTTGTGTTGTTCCTGACTTCTCAATGGGCTCCAGTCCCTCCCCCAGCCCCACTCCATGGGGCCCAGAGGCTGTCAGCAGCCTGGGATAAACTGTCCAGCGGTGATGTATGGTCTCAGACGCTCTCCACTCCCCCAGAACATCAAGTACACTCTCAGAGGCCAGTAGCCAAGGCTTCCAGATCCCATCTGTCACCTACCCTGCAGGCCGAGGCCCCACCCCCACCCCTCAGAGCTTCTCTGCACCTCTACTGCCCTGCCTTCCTGTCTTTGCCTTTGCCATTCCCTGCGGCTGACTCTTCTCCAGGGCAGCTGAAGTCAGGCCCGATCGCCCGAGGAGGACCTCACTGCCCCTTCCTTGGGCGCCCAGTTTGGGAAGGAGGTGGGGACATGCTTGGAGCTTTGGTCACATGCAACCTAGTGATGCTCTAAGCCTGTCTCCCTCCTCTGAATCGGGCACCCCAGGGGAGCAGGGACTTGTGCCTTCTCCATCTGAGTCGCGGGGTGTGTGTGTGTGTGTGTGTGTGTGTGTAACTGCAGTTTGTCCACTCCTTACAGATCTGCATCCCTGTCCTTGCTTTGCGAGAAATTCCTTATTGGGGGCACTTGTTTCCTCATCTGTCTGATGATGTGATCCAAACTCCACTAGCGATGTGGGGGAAATAAGCGAGAGCGAATGCAGGCTGCGTGGCTGTCGTGGCCCGCTACCTAAGGAGACATGGTTCCGGCAATCACACGAATAGGAGCTGCCGTGGCTGCCGTATAGGGCGGAGTGCGAGACCACCGATGATTGGCTGGCTCTGCTGGACTATGAACCACAATAGCCAACGAATGGAGGGCGTCAGGGAAAACACCGACACCGACCACGTTTAAAGGGAAGCAGGGAGCTCAGAGACTTGAGCCCAGGCCCTGAGACTCCTGCTGTGGGCCCTGCCCTCACCCGAGACATAGATGTCATTGCGGAGGGCACAGGCGGCGAACTCTGAGCGCGTGTAGCCGGGCAGGCTGGGAAGAGGGGTCCAGCGCCGGCTCTCTGGGTGGTAGGCGTCGGCGAAGGGCAGCTTCAGGAGCCCCTTGCGGTCGCAGCCGCCAATGACCACGATCACTTCCGCTCGGTCCATGAATCTGACGTGGGGGATAGTCCGATGTCCATTGGCCACTCCCGTTTCACCCCATCGTGACCCCCTCACCGACCCCACTGTACGGTCCTGCTGCCCTTTCCTGCCCTTCTCAGGACCCCTGTGCTGAACTCTCTTCCAACCTACCTTGTGGCTATTGATGGGCAGAGGCATGATACAAATAACCTTTACCATTACCTCGAAAACCACCTCCTAATGAACCCTTGCGACAGTTCTGTCGGTAGGAACTACCCTTTTACAGAGGAGAAAACCGAGGTTCACAGACTTGCCCTAACTCAGGCAGCCACTGATGGCACTGGATTCAAGTTCACGTCGGTCTGATTCTAACCTTTTCCTCACTCACCTTGTCTGCCCTCCATCCCTGGCAGTCCCTCCCCTATCAAGATCACCTAAGCCCACCCCTTAACTTCTAGTTTCACTGAATGAGGCCATTTACCCTTCCAGCAGAGCTTTCTTCCCGTCCACGGACTTGGGAGGCTTCTGACCCCACTTAATTCCCAAGCCCATTGGCCTCTGGCGTCTTAATCCGTCCAACAAATATTAAGCATTTTATACTAGGCTTAGTCTTGGAAATTGAGGGACAAATCAAGGGCCCCCGCTTTCCATTCCTAAGCACAAAGGCCAGTCTTGGACTACTGCACCCAGGCTCCTGGCCTTTCATGGCAGGCACGGCAGTAGGTCACTTTCTTCCTGGCTTTTGTCGCCTAGCTTGCCTATCGGTGTCCCCAAACACTCAGCTAGGGGTGGGGAGGCGCTGGCACACAGGGAACCCTCAGTATTATGGAATGACAAGATGAACACGTGGGTAAACGGCAAGGGAAAGACCGCACGCATGCTGCGGGATCTTTGCAGCACCCCATTGGAATGTGAAATCTTATCAAGCCTATAACATGTTTGATGCGTGAAGCATCACTGGGTGATTGGATGAGGGGAATGTGGAAGGAATGAGTGAGTGGTGGAAGAAGGGACGGAGGGCTGGCGGCCAGGGGGCGGACGGCCGTACCTCCGCGGCCGGGCCCGCAGCGCTCCAGCCTCGCGGCCCAGGATGAAGCAGGCGCGGGCCTCCAGCAGCAGCGGGCGGCAGTCCCCGCAGGCCTGCAGCAGCTCGTCGGCCTCCACCTTCTCCAGGAAGTAGGCGGGTGCCAGCAGCGGCAGGCGCACGTGCTCCAGGAGGCGCCGCAGCTGTCCCCGGCGGGCGGGCGCGTCATGGCGCACCCAGCGCATGGCCGCCTCGAACACCGCCTCCTCCCGGGCCACGCCGAGCGCCGGGTCGGCGAGCAGCGCCGCCACCTCGTCGGGGGCCAGCTCCAGGAAGTCGGCGTGGCACGCCACCTCCGCGAAGGCCTGGCGCAGCACGCGGCCGCAGCGCTCGGCCAGCGAGGCCAGCGAGAAGGCGGCGGCCACGCGGCGCAGCGCCAGGCTGTTGGCGGCGCGCAGGCGGCCCTCGAGGAAGCGCACGCAGGCCTCCCGCAGGCCCGGCACGCCCAGCCGCTCGGCCAGCGCCAGCACGGCGGCCGCCTCGTCCTCGGTGCGCAGCCGCACCCCCGCGCCGTACACGTAGTCCAGCACCGCGGCCAGCGCCGCGGCCGACCCCTCGGGCGCCACGGGCACCACGGGCACCGCTCCCAGGCCGCGCTCCGGCCGCCCGGCCGCAAACAGGCTGCGGAAGTAGGCGCTCCCCGCGCTGAGCGCCGCCCGGTGGCACGGGAAGTCGCGGCCGCCGGCGCGCAGCACCACGTCGGTGAGGGTGCCGCTCCGCCGGTAGGCGTTGAGGGTCTGCAGGACGCGCTGCGCGTGGCAGGTCCCTGCGCACTGCGCCTCGGAGCCCGCCTCCGACTCCTCCGGCCCGGAGGCCTCCCGCATCCTGCCAGGTAGAGAACACAGAAAAGTGTCCGTGAAGCCCACCTGGCTGGGACCCTGTTAGGGCACCGGAGGCCCAGCTCACCACATAGCTCATTCATGCATGCCTTCCGTGGCCTGTGTGTTTTCAGTCGTGCAACTCATCTTGCCATTCGCTTGGCCACATTCTCTCTAGCCTCGGCCATCTAGCGGCCGCTTACCTACTGAGCCTTCTCGGCACCACTCAGCCCTGCTTATCCACTTCAGCCAGGCTGCCCTTTCTGTTCTTCAGACTCGCTAAGCGTTCTCCATCCTTATCGGCAGAGAACAGATGGCTCCTTTTCAAAGAGGGTAATGTACGAGAAGTCTAATAAAGAAATGATTTATAAGCAGCGTCCACAGGCCCCACCAACGACTAGAACAGTACCTCGTGGCTAGCAACAACACAAACAAATACATGCACACCCAGACTCCACCAAACCAACAAACAACAAAACTCAAACGGCCTTGCAGTCAACTCCTGCTCATCACGACCCTGGATAGCGTTTCTGAGGTGGTCAATCGTTACTGGCACCAACAGCTTCCTGCTTCACCCCCACAAGAAGAGCTGGTGGGTTGAACCTCTGACTTTGTGTGGTTCGAAGTCCACTGCTCACCAGACAGTGTTACAAGGATCTAGGAGCCCCTCAGGCCCAAGGGCTGAAAAGCAAGGGCAGAGAGGTTTCTGGAGCCTGGACATAATACCTGTATAGGAAGGGCTATCAGAGATAGGACCCCTAGCCTTTGGTCAAGGAGTGAGGAGAAATATCTCTACCTATCTCTGCCACCCCTGTCCTGCCTCCTGCTGGGGAAGCTAGAGAGCAGGGGAGACTATCAGCCCCTCAGGGGAGACTATCAGCCCCTCTCACCCCCCACCTTTGCCTTCCACAAAGTAAAGGGGTGGAGAGAGGAGAGCAGTTTGGAGAGGCAAATGGTTCATTCCATTTAATGTGCACATTCTCCTCCAGCAGCAGGAGCCTGGTGTATAGTAGATGCTCAGTTACTATTTGGTCAATGTTGAAGACCTCTGTGCCAGTGTGCCCTAGGCCTTTCTGGAGCTAACAGCTGGGCAGGGTGCTGGGGGTGGGGTGGGGTGGGGTGGAGTAGAGTATTTGGGTTCCTGGAATGGGTGCTAAACCCATTGGGAGGTACCTGGGAAGGGGGTCCCTAAGGAGGGGACATTTAAACACAGACCAGAGGGATGATAGAATTAGCCAGGTGAGAGAGGGAGACTGTCCAGCAGAGAGAGAGGCCAGCTTGGGCAAAGAAAGGCCCTAGGAGGCGGGAGGGAGGGAAGGCATGAGGTGAGAACCAGGCTGAGGGAAGTTGGCCTTCTCTCTGGTGTGAGTTCTCTTGGTATTGTCAAACCTATAGAAAGTGTCAGCTCTAAGAAAGGCTGGGGTTCTAATCCTGCTACTGGTTACTGTGTGACCTGGGTCAGGTCAACCCCCTGCACCTGGCCTCATTTTTCTCATCTATAAAGTGGGGATTACAAAGCCCGCCTCCCCTTTAAGGGCCATTGTGACCATTAAACAGAAGCTACAGGACCAGCTGGGCACACGGTACCAGTTCAACAAAGGTTTCATGACTTTGTTTTGACTCAGGAGGAAAGGAGTATACTCCAAAAATCTCACTGCCATCCATGCAGTCGATGCCAAGTCATACCAACCCCACAGGGCAGGGTAAAACTGCCCTTGTGGCTTGCTGAGACTGTCACTCTTTTCAGGAGGACAGTGCCTCCCCTTTGTCCCTCGAAGCAGCTGGTGGTTTCAAACTGCTGACGTTGAGATTAGCAGCCGAATGCATAACCCCTATGCCACCAGGGCTCCTTACCATGCATACTAGCGCCTTTTTAAACATTATTAATTGGATTTAAATTGCATTAGACTCTCATATGACCCTGGTGTTTCTATAGATTCCGCTCCTTTTTGTTGTTGTATAGAGTCTCTGAGTCGCCATCAACTCCGTGGCAGTGAGAACCAAGGACCCCACTGCCAGAGGTTTGCTGTGCTGTTTGGCAGGGCGGTCTGTGAAAGCGTTCTACAGAGTGAGGGGCTGTACACGTTGGGTTCGCATTTGACCATGAGGGACACAAAGCTTGTGTGGGCACCCCTCCAGCAACAGGGCTCTCACGTCTTCGTGTGTCCCCTAGGGGCGCGCAGCGGCTCTGCCCCAGGCCCCCTGTCCACCTCGCTGCGCCAGATCCCAGCTGCTCTGCCCTGAGTTGGAGCCCGTGCTGTCAGCCTGGCTTTCAGGAACCGCCCAGGTCTCCCGCGCAGTCAGCCCTCCGCCTCAGCATAGCAAGAGGATGAGCCCTCCGGCGGGCAGGACTCCGAGGACTACTTTGCCCAAGGGTCTGGCCAAGACCCCATCTGGCTCCAGTTTCTTCATTCTAGCCACACTGTCACTCCTGTCAGGGGGCAGGGGCCTGTCCTGGGAAGCAGGTCACCAGGCTCACCCTCAGCCAGGGGGGAAGGCATCCACATTGAGTCGGGTCCCAGGAGGCAGCTCTCATCAGCGTAGGGTGGCTCTGCTTGCCGATGTCCCTCACACAGCACCCGGAGCCCAGGAACTCAAACGCGCGGTCGACTCACGCTGGCTGCTGTGCACGCACGGCCACATCGGGCCCCCTGCTGCCCCGGGAATCCCAGTGTAGGGGCCACTGGATACCCAAGGAGCACGGGGCTAGGGATTCCAGGGGCCGGGCTGGCGCCAGCTTTTCCCCATCTCAGCTGAGGGTCGAGGACCGGGAGAGACCCCTCGAGTCAAGTCCGGATGAGACTGGGAGACCCAGCCACTGACAGCTGACTCCAACCTCCGTAGCTTTCTTTTTCATGCGCGCACACCCACTCTCACAAAGCCTGGGGACCGGGACACCCGGGCCCCGAGCCCCGCCCCGGATGTCCTTGACTCTTACCTGGCCACGCCCTCTCCCAGGTGCCCCGCCGCAGCCGCAGCCGCCGCTGCCCGCGCGCACAGGCCGCTCGCGGCAGTGCCCGCAGCCTGTCCCCCGGTGCCCGGGCTCCTATATCCCCGCCGTTCTCGTTCTGTCCCGACTCCCGATCGGGCTCAGCTGCGGGAGGACAAAGGGGCTGGACGCCAGGACGAGAGGCTGGGGGGAGGGGCCGCCGGGCGGGCTTTTGTTCCTTTTCAGGACCAGCCCCGCGAAGCGGGGAGGGGATGGGGGTGAGTGTGGGGTTGCTTGTGTAAGCTGGTATGGCTGGGATTGGGGTGACCTGTCCCCCACCCCACCCCAGGGACGCACAGGCTGAGGGCACAGGTGGCCGCCTGAAGCAGCGGTGTGGTCGTGTGCCCATGTTCCAGTGTGGGGGCTCATTGAACATAGGGATGGCACACGTTGGGAGGATGGTGGTACCACGGTGGCTCTGATGGGGCCAAGCATGGACTGCCTCCCGGCAGGGGCCCAGGTTTCCCTCACTCATTTTGTGCGACTGAGAGTCCTACTCTGCCTGTCTCTATGAGTGTTCCCTGTGTGGGGCACAGGGCTCTGGGTGTGTGTGTCCATGGGCTTTGTGTGTTATCCGACGGCAGTGTCTTGTGGACTGTGTGTACAAAAAATGGCGTCCGTACGACAGTGCCTGTGGTCTAAGCAGAGGGGTTTTTCACACCCCCCCTTCAAGGAGAGATGGCCCTTGGAGTGAGCATACTGGGAAGGTGCCTGGCCGAAGGAGAACAGTGCTGCCAGGGCTAGCCTGGTCTCCACAGCCTGCCACTGACCATCGCTGCCTGCTTCCAACAGGTAGGTGAAGGGCTTTGCCTCCACAGAAGACAGAAGTCTTGACAAGAGCCCCAATGAGGCCAGAGTGGCCGAGGCCAGGCACTCCTGCAGTGAGTCGCAGTGTGACCCTCACTGCCTGCCGACTGGCCGCAGACCGCTCACCGCAGGAGGGCTGAGTGATTCCTGTTGGGCATATTTTGCTGGGTCTGTGAGTAGCAGTGGCAGGAGACGTGGAGCGACCTGCACTGGGGCCAGGCTGACGCAGGCTGTGGTGGAAGGTTGTGGAAGGGGGACGGGTCACTGTGATGCTGGCTACGTGGTGTGCTGAGGCCTGGCTGGAGATTCTGCTGCAGGGACCCAGCGCCGGGGAATGGTGTCATCCCCTCCTCCTGCCATCAAAGGAGTAGATGTCTTGTTAAAGGATGGGGAGATTCGAACACCTTTATCTCTGTTCTTCATAGCGACCTCATGGAGCCGGGTCGGACCCCCCTGTGGGTGTCCAGGCTGTAACTCTTGATGGGAGTAGACAACCTCATCTTTCTCCCTCAGACTTTACGGTTGGTCAGCAGCCCAACTCGTAACACACTATTGCCAACAACTCGCCAAGAGATGTTGGATTTTTGGAGTGCCTGGAGCAGAGACCAGTGTGCTGGTGGGACAGAGGGTGCTGACCACCCAGGGAAGGGATGGCATCCAATGGTCAAGTCCCCTTTTCTGGGTGGGCCTGCCTGAAGCCAGAGAAGAAACTATTGGGGTGTTACAGGCAGTTCCGAACTCCATGGCCACGCTTTTGTGTCCAGCAAGATATGAAACTGACCTTTGCTCCAGTAGGGGAGGCATCTGCCAGAATTCCTGCGTGCGTGCATGCGTGTGCGTGTGTGTATGTGTGTGTGTGTGTGTGTGTGTGTGTGTAGCATCAAAGGATGCTCCTTCACAGTCTCGTTAAAAACCACCACCGGAAATGAGAAAGCGTGCCTCCCATCACTGAACACACGTGAAACCAACACAGTGTCCAAAGCAGATGCTTCTGTCACAGAAGGGTTAGAACAGGCTGAAGCGGGGGTTCAGTCTCCCCCTTTTCCCTTAGGATGTCCCCAAGACCACAGAGCCACTGAGGACAAAGACTGTGGCTTGCCCTGACTCCTGCTGACCCCTTCCCCTGTAGAGGACAGAGGTCACAGGGCCCCCACAGATTCAGACAGGAAAGGCTATCCGAGGTTCAAAGGACTGAAGTTTGGCTTTCAGACCAGGGGCCCCCACCATGCTGGAGATGGGGTGAGTCTTCTCAGTCAGGCCCAGAGCCCCAAGGCATTAGAATCAAACTCCAGCCCTGGCAGAAGAGGAATCTCCTAGCCAAGGGCTATGTCCTCCCAGTCCTCAAACCCTCCATGTGGCCATGAAGGGACCTGCTAATCCCATTCCCCATTGCCAGGGTCTTGTCCTTCTGCCCATGGGATTCCTGGCTGGCCACAGAAGGCATGCACTATGACACTCTGGAGTCGGCCTGGGGGCATTCTGGCTCTGCAGACCCTACTATGGGGCCTTGGGTAGTCAGCCACTCGACCTCTCCAGTGCTGTCCACCGAGCAGTGTGGAGGTCCAGGCTCTTCTGAGACCAGCTCCCCTCACATCTCCGGGGCCAGGCTAACCCCCAAGCCAGCATGCTGTCCCCACCCTCCTGCTGACACCTCAGAATGAGACCGACACATATCGAGATGGCAGCTTTATTCCTCTTGACTGAGGCCTCTCAGGCCCCACCACGGCAGCCTCCTCGGGCACATTGTCCTGACTGTGCCCAGAGCTCATTTCACAGGTGGCGCCTGAACTGTGGCTATCGGCATGGGAACCTCTGGCGTCTGTCAGACTGTGTCCCTGGGCTTAGGGCTGCACCGCCCCCTTGGGCCTGTTGGACCGGGGTCCAGCAGCCATCTCCGGCTGCTCCCAGGGGCCATGGCTCAGGTCCTCTCCCGAGGCAGGGCTGGCATGGTGGGTGGCTGGCCAGAGAGGGGCCATGTCTCGTCCACTCCCTCTGGGCTGGAGTTCCTTGTGCTTTGAGGCTGAGGTGAAGAACAGAGGGGCAAGGGAGAGGCCCAGCCCAAGCCTTGAGGCAGGAGGAGAACGGAGACGTCAACCTTCATGGCGCAAACAGGAACACGGGCATGTGGACAACCCAGACTTCCACAGAGGGCACCGCACGGCACGGCTGCGGTCAGGAGGCTGCACGTAGTGCGGGGACTGGGGCCTGCTCTGCTCTTCCTGGAGCCCTGGGCCTGCAGGGGCATTGGAGGCTAGAGTCCTGGCCCAGTGGAAGAGAGGCCATGCCCATGGCTGACCAGGGGGGAGGCCCAGAACCAGCTCCAGAGCCTGGCCTCCCGGCTCCGCCATTTCTGCTTTATGTACAGGCTGGGACAGGAGGGTCTTCTGCTAGTGCCCACTCCTGTCTGTGAGGCTCTTGGCTTGGCTGCTGGCCCCTCGGGGGTCCACTGGGGTGGTGGAGCTGGTGGCGTAAGTGTCGTAACTGTTGTCTGAACACACGGAAAGCTCATCGGAGACCTCCACGCCGTTGCTGATCTCTGCAGCCAGAGGGAGGCAGGATGTGAATCAGAGGCCAAGGGTCACAGAGGGGCTTGGTGGCAGCAATTCTGAGCAGGCACTTGGGAGACCAGCAGTGCACTGGCTTCTAGATGAGTGGCTTGTCTGGCATTCAAGGCCCTGCTGGTCTCTCACACCCCTGGCTTCTCAGCACCCCCTCCTTGGAGTCCCCTCCCCGCTCCCCAGTCATGGGAAACCTCCTGCGGCCCCTTGAGCCAGGCACGCGTATTCTCTCTGCCCAGGGCCTGAGCACCCACGGGCTTCTCTCTCTCAGCTGTAGTGATGTCCCTACCAATCCTTCCTTCCCATAAAATCGAACTTCTGAATCTTAAGTTGTTCTCATCTCCGTTATTTCAGCCTCCCCAAAATTCTGCCCTGAGGTCCCAGTGTCCGTCTCTGGGGCCCACCATGGCTACAGTCTGCACTCGGGCCTCCAGCCCCCATGGGCACTGGGCACACAGCTGACAGGGGCTGAGGGTCTTTGGAGCAGAACCCCATCCCCAGTCTAGGGTAGGGAGGGGGTGAGGACTGTGGCTGAACTCTGGGGCTCAGCACTGCCAGGAGAAGTGGGGAGTCTTCCCGGACCCTGCCCTCTATTTGTTTTCTCTGCCGTTTCTGCCTTCTCTACGTCAGGCACAGGCAGGCGCCCGAGGTTCCAGGTACCACAGACTGGCTTCTCCTGTGGGGAGCTCCTGTGGGGCCAGAGCTGCATTAGAAAAAGGCCCAGAGAGCTATGAGGTGGCCATGGAGGTGCCTGAAGCCAGCCCGGGGTCGGGGAAGCTGCTCCGGAGGTGAAGGGTTTTGGAGGTAGGAAGAATGTCAGTGCCCCAGGGGGGTAAGCATCGATGTCTGATCTCCTGAGCACCTGGGGCAGTGCCTGCAGGAGCTGATGGATGAATGAATGAATGAATGATGAGTGAATGAGTGCATGCTCGCATCATCCTCGGACACAGCTCTGCTCCACATCAGTTTCTCCTCCTGGAGACTCTCATTCATTCACCTAGAGCTCACCAAGCCCCCAGCCTGGTCCTCACAGAGCCCTGCTGGGGGGTGGGGCTGGGGGTGTTAGCCACATAGCAGCCCAGGAGTGCTCTGCAGGGAGACTAGCTAGCCTGTGTGCCCAGGTTCATCCGTGGCTAGGCAGAGAGCCCTGATGGGGTCCAGGTGCAACTGGCTCTTAGCCCTCTCTGGACTCTCCCCTCCTCTCTGGCCCCCAGGGCCACGGCTTTTACCGGAATCAATGTTGGTGTTTTCCCTTCAGCTTCCCCTGCAGCCCACCCCCCACGCCCCTCCTGCCCTCCTGAGCAGGCAGAGGCCTCCTGCTGTATGCTCCCTCACCACCTCCCAGCAAATGCTGTTCCCCTGGGGACGCTCTCCTTTCCTACCCTCCCCCAGCCCCACCCCTCCTGCCCATCCTCCACGTCCCACTCTCACCTCCTCACAAGGGGCCCTAGTGACCCAGCGGTTAAGTGATCAACAGTCAAAACCACCCACTGGCTCTGGGAGAAAGACCTGCTTCCTAAGAACTTCCAGGCTAGCAAACTCCCTAGGCACTCCTGCTCTGTCACGCACAGTAACTGTGCAAAGTGGACTTGCACACACCCAACAACCACCTGCTCCTTGGAGATGGACCCCCTACCTCCCCTCTTTGCCCCTGGGACCTTGGACCTTGGACCCTGGGACCTTGATCTCTGCACCAGGCCTTGGGGACACCCACTTTTCCTGTAGTCTGTATCTGACTCAGCAGACTGGGAGCGCCTGCCGCACACAGGGGTGCAGTCACCGCCTGTGGGGCCCTATGGGAAATGGGCCACCAGTACAGACCTAGTCCAGAGCCCATGGCGGCGACCCCTGGGCTCAGGGGTTGAGGTCTGCCTGTGGAGGCATGGGCACTCCGTGGGCGTGTGTGCCCAAGTGGCCTGGGCAGCTGTGTGCTGGTCCACCTGCCTGGGGCCTGCCCACCTGAGAAGATGAGCTTCTCCTTCATGATGCTGACGTCCCGGCTGGTCCGGCGCACTGCGGCGCTCAGCATGATCTGCTCGGGGTTGTAGCTCCGAATGCCACCCAGGCGCCACCTGCGGAGATGGCCCCGTGGGTGTCAGGCCCCTCCCCACCCCTCCCCTGGAGTAGGATCCTGCCTAATTCCAGAGGGTTTTCTCAATTGGGCCTGAGAGACCGACAGGACTCTTGTCCCACTGCACAGATGGGGAAACTGAGGCCCAGAGAAGGCTTGAATTAGAGTCTACTGATTCTCAGCCAGGGCTCTCCTGCCCCCTCATAGCTCCAGAACCCCAAGACACAGCCCTTACCCAAGAAGACACCGGTGTCTGCAGTGTTCCCAGATATGCACCTGGCTGAACGGGGGAAGTGGAGTGTGTGTGTGTGTGTGTAGCTTAGCAGACATGACTAGATGACCTGCCTGGGTACCCACCAACCTCGGGGAGTCCCAGCTGAACCATGGGACATAACACGCCCCCCATGGTATGCAAAGCAGGAGGGGAAATCCTGAGAGGGAGTGATGCTGGGGGAGGGGGTGGGGTGGGCAGCAAGGTGGGGCTTTGCTCAGAGTGCTCTTCACAGGCTCTGAGGCTCGTGTCTGGGGTCTTGGTACGGCTTTCTACCCTTCTGCCCAACAACTCAAGACGAGCCGGGCAGCGGTCCCCAGGTGTGACAGGCTGGGGTACCTGACGGCCGAGGCACAGGTGCACAGGGCACGCAGGTTCTGGTACCCAGTGGGGAAGACCCAAGGGCCACTTCTCAGCCCCTCCTTGGGGACTGCTTTGCCTATACCTGTCCCTTTGATGTACCCAGACCTCTGGCCTTAGATTATCTTTGCAATCTAGACCCAACCACTCCCTGGACCCGTCCCCCAGCCCAGAGGAAATTTCGGGTGGTTAGCTCAGAAAGGAGTCCAAGCCCTGGAGCATCTAGTCCGAGTTGGGGGTGCAAGGAAGGAGGTGGAGGAAGCCAAGAGTCCACCAGGACTGGGTTGTGAGGGTCTGGATGGGCCAGCACAGCAGGGGTGGACAGACAGCTGGATGGGCAGACAGATGGCTAAACGGAACGGACAGACAAGGAAAGCAAGGGGCTGAGGGGTGGGCAGCCTGAGCTGTGGTCTGGCTGGTGGCCCTGCGAGGCCCCAAGGGCCTTTTGTATTTACTACCACATCACATGGCCAGGTGCCTCTGTGCTGTGGGAAGGAACGAGAGCATGTAGCCCCCCAGAAGCTTCTTGCGTGGTTGCTCAGGGCACCCCCTCCACAGCCCCTTCCTGACCGTCTGAAGACAGTGGCATCGGCTACAGCAGCTGGAATCCTGCCGGGTCCATCGCCCCCACCAGACTTTGTGCTCCAGGCAGCGGAGGGGCAGGTGGCTCCTTGCTGCAGGCCTGGCACCACTGGCTGGTATGTGGGGAGTGAGCTGACTCTTCCCTGGCCCCGACCTATGGCCAGTGGGCCCAACAACCTCCTAGAAGCCAAGTAGCAAGGCTGGTGGACATAGCAGGGCCTAAGGTGTGATTCCAAGGGGTGGCTGGGACCCAGGACTCATATTGGGAAGGGACAATAATGTCCAAGGGGAAAGTGTCAGGCCAGGGCCTTTGCAACTGGGCACATCCAGGACAGGCAGCTTGACCACTGAAGTCACCCCCATGAGTCCCCGGGAGCACGAGGTAGCAGAGCCAGCCTGTGAAAACGGGGTCCGGTAGCAGAGGGGAAGCAGGGCAAGGAGTCAGACAGAAGAGGAGAGAGAGAGAGATGGAGAGAGACAGGGTGACAGAGACAGAGAGAGTGCGGCGGCAATGTGACGAAGCTGGGGCAAAGGGGCTCGGCAAAGAGTGAAGGCCCCTGGGATGTCAGACTGGGGGGCCCCCCAGGCAGAGGCCCCACCGCAGGGGGAAACCACAGGGGCCAAGGAACCAGGAGAGCCCTTGCTAAGGAAGGGCCAGTTCCTACCACCGAGGTCTGGACTGAGCACAGAGAGTCCACGGGGCCAGGTGGGGGAGCGCAGAGGGAGGGGATTCAGGCAAGGGCAGGCATCAGCAGGGGGACCCCCAGTACAGGGGTACAGGGTGTGGCACCCAGCAGGTTTCTAGAGGGAAGTGGAAAAGGGATGGCAAGGAGAAGGGAGAAAGAAGAAGAGGAGGATGAGGAGAAAGACCCCCCTCCCCAAATTACCTGATCAAGTGATAGCTGTGAATGCCAGAGTGCAGCAGAGAGAGGGGCAGAGAGGGGGACATGCCGGGTCAGAGCGAATGGGACAGAGAGAGAATGTCAGTCAAGACCCCTCAGCCATACCCCCACCCCCACCCCCGCCCCAGGAAGGATGCCGAGGGCCCTGGCCAGCACAGGCCAGTGCTGGGCGAGGAAGCCAGGCCCTGACAGGAGAGGAGGCTGACCCTGAGGACGAGGAAGGTCACATGGGTCGCAGCCTGGCTCTGGGCTCCCAGCTGGTGCTCCTTTTCCTATAGGTGGACAGGGCCCTGGGAGTCCTTCCTCCTCCCCGAGCGAGAGCTCAGGGGCAGCCCTTGAGCCCTCTATCCAGGGCCCAGGACAAGGGGTGGGGGGTGTGCCCCCGGGAGCCAGGCCTGCCCTGGGGTGGGGCAGGAAGACCACGAAAGGTGGCCGGTGGCCCACTCACTTCTGAAACACGAAGATGCCCACGATGAGGGTGAAGGAGATCAGGTCGGCGGTGACCCACATGAGACAGTACTCGTCCGGAGGCTGTGGACAGATGGCCTGGGGTGAGGCGCCAGCCAGGGCTCCAGATGCAGGCCTGTGGGCAGGAGGGTCCCGCAGGCCCACAGGGAGTGGCAGGGAAGGCCCCGGGGCTGGGTCCTTCCACGGTCTTGGCAGGAGCAGGCTCTGACTAGTGGGGGTGGGGTGGGCTTGTTTCTGGGTATTTTCAGAGTGGGGACAGAGCTGTGCCTGGGGTGGAGGGTGCATGTACACACAGCCCACTCAGGATAGAGAGATTGTGAGTAGCTGCTCTGGGAGTCCTTGCGGGGCTCCCTGCTTAACACACTGGGCTACTGACCAACAGGCTTGGATCCATCCAGGGGCGCCTGCAAGAAAGGCCTGCAGACCTAATTCTCAAAGGTCACCCACTGCAAACTGCACGGAGCACCAACCGTCCTGCTCTGGGCCACACAGGGTCTCTGTGAGTTGTGGCTCTGTTTTTCGTGGGCAGTGAGGGTTTGCGTGCTCAGGGGAGGTGCTGAGGAATGAACGCCTAGTGCCTGCAGGGGAGGTGTGGGTGAGGAGGGAGCTGTGAGTACGGGTGTCACCGAGCACAGACAACAAGGTGTGGAACACATCCAGGAGTGCTAGAGAGGGCCCAGGAGGGTCAGGTCCTCAGTGGACCTGCTTGGGCACAGGTCGGTGATGGAGGAGAGGGGCATGTCAGCTCTCAGAGTGGCTTCCGTGGCTGCACTCAGTACCCTATCTCACCTCATTGTGATCTGGGTCTTGGGGCCGGGTTTGAGGACGGGAGTGGGGGAAGAACTGAGGCGGGTCTTCAGGGCTGGGAAGGAGGCAAGATGAACTCCAGGCAGGTTGCTCTCTCCCCTTCCCCAGGACCGACTCAGGGCACTGGAACCAGCTCAGCCATGACAGCCCTCCTCCATCTTCCCACCACCACTGCCTGGTCCCCCCAGGAAGCCGTGGGAGAGGGGGACGGGCAGGACCCCACTGATCTGTGTGCCCATCAGTGGCCGAGCTGGGCCCCACACTTGGGGAGTGTGCCGTCAGCATCAGCGGAGGGCTTTATTCACTGTGCTCTCTGGGCAGCTTCTCAACGCTCCTTCTTCTTGTCCTGCTTTGACCAGAGCGTGGTGGCCCAGAGGGTTCTGCATTCAGCTGCTGACTACCACGGCAGCCGTCTGAACCCACCAGCCACCACCAGGGAGCAAGATGAGGCTTTCTACTCCCATACACAGTGATCAGCTCAGAAACCCACAGGGGCAGCTCGCCCCCCCCATCTAGGGTCACTGTGAGCCAGCATCACACACACAGGGGCAGGTCGCCCTGTCCTATAGGGTTACTGTGAGTCGGCATCACACACAGGGGCAGTTCCCCCCGTCCTATAGGGTCG